GGGTGGGGGAGAAAGAATTGCTCGCTTCACAGTAATTGATACTTAATTCAATACTGTCAGAACAGCACAAAAACAAAGTATCAATTTAACAGAATCCCTTATCATTTAAGCATTAAGATAGCGTGTTAATCTTTCCTGAAAGATTCAGGCTTCCAGAAGCATTCATTCAGGGAACTGTAAGACCTCAGTCCACTGCATAAAATCCTAATCCTTTAAGAATAATTTATGTATCTTACATATTCATTCAACAGGTTTAACATAATGTGCAAATTAATGGTCTTTTCATTTTTATTTTTATCAATTTCATTTCAAGCAGGACCCATATACACCATCATAAACAGAAACGTACTTAGGACTTCATAAGGGCCACTAGATAATGGGGAAATTGCTGCTCTGCTTTGTTTATGGCCACTTGGGACCAAAAGTCTCTAGACCTGGAAACGCAGCAAGCCGGGAAGTTAGTTGACCGTGTTTGGCCTCCGGGAGTTTGGAGTCCCCACACTCTTCAGGTCGCTAGGAAGCCTGGCTCACTGAGTTTAGTCAAGAACTTAGAAGGACCGATCTCAAAGAAAAAAAGAAAAAAAAAATCTGAGCAAAGACCAAACCACAGAAACTGGTTCTCAGCTCCTCACGGGGACCTTCGGGAATCACGACCCTGGGCAGCCACCTTCCACCTGCCTTAACTGTGGGAGAAACCTGTGCACCCAGTTGCCTCTCTCCGAAGGCGCGCGGTTGTACCCACACAAGTGCCGCGCGTGTCGCGGAAATGCTCCACGAAGTACAAGATTCGGGTAGCAGTACCCCCACGTCCGACGGGTTGGTCATTTTAGCGGCTGGCGACAGAGCTTTGGACTGTGCCTACTTCTGCAGAACTAACCCCAAGTGAGGGAAAGCCGGGTCTCGACGCCGCCCGGAGGGCAGCAGGCACTTAAGGTTTGACAGTGCCCAGCGAGCGCACTTGGAGTGCGCTGCTTCACGTTCATTGTCCAGTCCCGCAAGGCCTGGCGCGAGAGAGTTGGGGTGTAGGTGGCTTCTGAAGCAGACACTCGTGCGGCTGCAGCTCCAACCCCCTCCCCCAGCCGCTCGGGGGCGGGAAGTGGCGGGCGGGAGTCACCCAAGCGTGACTACCCGAGGCCCCTCCTGCCGCGGCAAGGGAGCTCCATAAAAGCCCAGTTGCGACCCGCTCTCAGCACCCCATCCGCCCTCCCTCACACCTGGAAGAGGACCTCCCCCACCGCAGAGCACTTGCCGCCCAGCCACGCCCGCTCGCCAGCCATCGTGAGTATCAGGACCGGTTTGGGTAAGGGCGGGAGCTAAGGGGGCGCGGGTGAACTTGCCCCGGGCATCATCTCACCCTCTGCGGAGCCTTGGAGTCCTGGGAGGTCGCACTCGGATCCCTAGATTTTGCGCCCCGGACTTTGCCATTTTCACGCCCAGATGCCCGCCATCCCTTCTTGGCGGCTAAATTTCATTTGTCTTTTCTGGTCCCCTCTGGTTGTCCTTCGGCCCTTCTCCTGGTCCCTCCGACTGGGCGTACCCTCAGGATTATGTTTTGATAGATAGGGAGGGAAAAGGTGGGACCCCTATCCCAAGGCATCTGACCATCTCCCCGCAGCCAGATTTCGGTGGGCGGAGAGAGGTTTCCCAGGCTGCGCCCTCGAGTGAGGAATACCCCACCGGCGCCCAGTCACCTCAAGATCCTGGAAATCGGTTCCGAGACAGGCTAGCCTGGCTCGTAATTCTCCTTCCCTCTTCCCAACTCAGTTGTCACCCGGAGAGAATCTCAACCATAGCTGTCCTTCCCAGACAAACCAAAGTAACAGAGAAGAAAGTTTTCTCCTCCGAGAAGTATTGAGGGAGAAGGGGAGAAAAGTGATCACCCTTTAACTCAGAGGGAAAAACTTCCGATTCTGTTTCCAAACTGTTTTCCTGACCAAGCCTCCACTTTGCGCCTCTCGCTGCGCTACTCAGTCCTTAGGACTTGTATGAAAGTCGCTCGGAGTTTTCCCGCGGAGCAGAGGGGCGGGGCCCGGACAGAACATCTTAGCCATCAAAGATCAGCTTCTTTCTGTATGTAGAACTGGGACTTGAGAGGATTGGGGGCGTCGAGGGTGACAGCAGCGAAAAGGGCTCAGGAGTGAGTCCTCTGAATCCCCAAGTTCCCCAACTCCAATCCACTGAAACTTTTATGTCCGCAGATGCTAGGTAGCAAGCGACTGGGGCTGTCCGGACTGACCCTCGCCCTGTCCCTGCTCGTGTGCTTGGGTGCGCTGGCCGAGGCTTACCCCTCCAAGCCGGACAACCCGGGAGAGGACGCTCCAGCGGAGGACATGGCCAGATACTACTCGGCGCTGCGACACTACATCAACCTCATCACCAGGCAGAGGTGGGTGGGATCCGCGAGAATGACTCAGAGAGCACCAAGCCCTCACACTGCAAATCCTGGGGATCTTAGGCGAAAGGGACCCTTTCTTTTTCTTTGCTACATCCAGGGAATGACCATATTAGGCACATATTCAGCTCTAGATAAAATGTTCAGGGCACAAACTGCAGAAACAGGGTTCAGTCCCTGTGTAACTACTCACTCAGGTTCCCCAAGCTGGTGTTTGGCATCTCCTCCCACTTACCCAGGGTCTTTTTTGGTTTTAAGCCCCTTGGAGCCTGTCTAGCCTTCTCCATGGGAAAAGTGCCCTGTGAAAGGGGCAGGAGTGCCTCTAAGAAAGTGGGTAGGATGGAGAGCGAACCAGGTGTCTAGGGAAACAACCACCACCAAAGAAAACCAAGGAGGAAACAGCCTGGTCACCAAGAGGAGGCTACACTTTCCAACATGCCCAGGGCAAACCCAGTAACATCATTTAGGAAGAGACAAACAGAGCTGTGTGTTTCTTACCTACAGCATTTTTGGCAGTCTCACCTCCATGCTTGAAATCGTGACCCCATTATTAACAATTTAGCATGAAAACAGTTAATTTAAAAATGAAGATTTGGCCCATTTTATAGTAGGTGAGTTCTGAAAAGAAAGTCTTACTTTCTTTATTAAGGAAAAAAACTTATATTGATCTAGTAACTCTAGGATAAATCCAGAGAATACTTGGAATCTGAAAAATTATAAACTTTTTTTTCTTGGATGCCCAGAAAATTAAAACGAAATGTCACACTTTCACTTTTAACATTGACTATTAAGTGAAAAATCAAATCCAATCTATTTTACACACAATGCGGTGTTTAAATTTTGTTTTCAAAACTGGTGCATCTCAATTCTAAATCATTTAACATGTTATTTTAAGGAACTATGAAGGATGAGCCCTTTAAAGCATTAATGTTATTTAACATGTTTCAATTATGTGTTTTAAAGTATTGGTTTTTTCTGTTTATTTTTTTAATCATGTTTTTACTTTTACAGGTCAGGGAATGGTTGGAAAAAATCAAAGCAGGGTGTGTGGGGGTAGGGGGAGAATTTATACTTAAAAAATAGTTTCCTTCTTTTTGTGTCATCAAAAC